AGTGTTATAAGGATTAGATTAGATAATGCCCAGAAAAACATTTTTATTGTATTACTTGGTGGGGAGTTAGCATTCAGTAAACGTCGCTACTATTACTTTTGGTGCTAAAAAGGGTATTTACGCACTTAAGATAAAATTTATAGTGGTTTTTGGTTTTTTTTTGTTTTGTTTTGTTTTGTTTTGTTTTTTGAGACAGAGCCTTACTCTTGTTGCCCGGGTTGAAGTGCAGTGGTGCTATCTCGGCTCACTTCCGCCTCCTGGGTTCAAGCTTCTCCCACCTCAGCCTCCTGAGAAGCTGAGACCACAGACGCTTGTCACCACGCCTGGCTAATTTTTGTACTTTTTTTTAGTGAAGACAGGATTTCGCCATGTTGGCCAGACCGGTCTTGAACTCCCGACCTCAGGAGATCTGCTGGTCTCTGCCTCCCAAAGTGCTGGGATTACAGGCGTGAACCACCACAGCTGGCCAGGTTTAGTTTAAGCTGTCATCTTGAGACACAGTAACAGATGATCCACATTTTCTGTCCTTTGTAATATTTTATTTTATTTTATTTTATTTTTTATTTTTATTTTTCTTTTTTTGAGACGGAGTCTCGCTCTGTCGCCCGGGCTGGAGTGCAGTGGCCGGATCTCAGCTCACTGCAACCTCCGCCTCCCGGGTTCACGCCATTCTCCTGCCTCAGCCTCCCAAGTAGCTGGGACTACAGGCGCCGCCACCTCGCCCGGCTAATTTTTTGTAGTTTTTAGTAGAGACGGGGTTTCACCGTGTTAGCCAGGATGGTCTCGATCTCCTGACCTCGTGATCCGCCCGTCTCGGCCTCCCAAAGTGCTGGGATTATAGGCTTGAGCCACCGCGCCCGGCCCCTTTGTAATATTTTAAAGTTGCCAGTAGAATTTGGAACATGAGCAGAAATTACTGTAATGGTTACACTTCTGAGAAACATTTAAGCTCTTAGAATCCGATATTAATATATTAGATTCTTTTATGTTTATGAACAGTTTTTTTTTTTGTTTCTAAATATTTGAGAGTGATTTCTGTATGTGTAAAAAATAAATGAAAAGGCTTCATTACTACATACATTCTTCTGTAATGTCTGGGTTTGTGATTAAGTTGTTTTCTCTGTTATTCATGGCAAACTGTAGTCCTTGAGACGGTTACCCAATATAAAGAGATGGGAGGTATTGTGGTTTTCAAAATTAACTATTTTGTTGATTTGTACTCACATGGTAGCTTCATTTATTACCCTTGAAACGCACTTCAAGATGCATTAATTTGAGAAATCGTGGTTATGTGTTTCCTTAATTGCTTTTATTTATAGCAGCCATTGTATGACATAAACTGAACTTTGGTGATTTGGAGAAGCATTTTTTTTTTTTCATTAAACATGTAAAGCCTAGACATATTGATAAAATTCATTGTGGTACAAAATATTGAAAATAAAACTTGTTTTGTTGTTTTGCTTACCACTGTTCTAGTGTTATTTAGTTCACATTGCTATAGTTCAGGTTACTTAGGTGTTTCTGAAATAGGCATCTAGTTTCAGGAATTTATAACTTTTAGGAGGAAAAGGAACAATATGAGAAAAATATGGAAGTGTCAGAATGAAAATAGTTTAAAGCAGAAATTATTTTCTTAGTCTCGTATGTATTGTAAGTATAACAATTAGATTGACATCATTCACATAAAATTAGTTTAAAAAATGTTTGTTTCCTCTTTAAAAACCATTACTGTGGAGACAAAAGAATGATAAATATGATTCCATTTGTAATAGGAATTATGAGTGACGTCCCTGGTGGGGTTGGGTTCTGGATACAAGCTAGCTTTTCATTTTTTCAATTATGTGTCTTAGTCTTGGCATGAGATAAAAAATTAAAGTATGTTGGGAGAGAAAGTTCGTGTGTGTGTTGTGGGTGATGGTAGATTTAAAGGAGAGAACAGAAAGGTTGGAGATGTAGCTGAGGAGTTGACTTGATGTGTTGTGTTTAGATCTGAGTCATGAAACAGTTAAAAAAATAATTATCTGGGACCAGATAAAGCAGTATTCCTTCTTGGTCTGAGCATGAACTTGGACTGAGCTCTTCTCAGTCTGAGCCTAGAACTCTCCTTGAAGATATTACCTGGAGCATTCTGTATAGGGCAGCATTGCTGCATCAGTGCAGCAGTAAATACTGTAAGAAGATGCTTAATTTATTTTTGAATACATAATAAACTCAAAATAAGAGACATATTGTCAAATATTAGACATTGCTAAAATATTTTGTCTTTAGATTTAACCTGACATTTTAAAAAGTCCTAGAAATTCTTCTAATTTATAGTAAAGGAGATTTTTAAAAAAACTATATTTCAAGATTGTGACTAAAAGTAATTATAGTATAGCTTCTAGAAATTTTTAACGAAAATTGAATCAGTTGATTTCTTTTTTCAGAGGAAAAATGAACTGCTTCATTTATCTGTATTGATGTTGAGTGTAGAGTAAAAATACTCCTTACATTGATTCAGTGTTGTATGTGAGGAGTGATGTTAACATAGGATCACATTTAATTTTTAAAGTAACCTTACGATAAATACTATTTTTCCTATTTTGTAGACAGAACTGAGGCCTATTGAAATTACATGATTTGTCTGAGGTCACAACTAAAAATTTATGGTGCCTGGATTCATACCCAGGTTTTTCTATCTGAAATTTTTATGTGGCCTTTATCAAACATAAACTTGGTTTGGTATGCAATTCTAGGTTGTCAACCCCCTACCCCTTGGAAGATATTATTTCACTGTCTCCAGGCTCCCGATGTTCCTCTTGAAAAGTTACCTATCAATATAATTTCTTTCCTTTGTATATGATTTGTCATTTCCTTCCATTATAAATGTTCTTCAGTCTTACTGCCTTGTCTCTAGGTGTGAACTTTGATTTGCTTTTAAACTGAAAATTGTTGTCTTCTGCTAGTTTTGGAAAATTCTCAGCCACTATATTTTTGAATTTTGCCATTCTTTTTTCTCCTTCTGGAATTCATAAGAGACATATGATGGATCTTCTCTTTCTACTCTGCTGCATTTCTTAATCTTATTACTTATTCTCTCTGTATATACGGCATTCTGGTCAGTTCCTACAGCTCTGTCTTCTGGTTTATTGATTCTCCTTTCATCTGTGTCTAAGCTCTTGCTTCCTCAGTCCACTGAGTTTTTTTTTTTTTTAATTTCAGTGACTATATATTTTAATGCCAGAAGTTCTTTTTGATTATTTTTCAAGTAAGCTTATTTATTTTAAAATTTCTTGTCCCTATGTCTTTAAATGTGCTTATTTTACAGTAGCTATCTAATGGATTATCAAGGACTTTAGATAAAGGCCTTAATTTTGCTCTATGTTGTATTCTCCCTCATAGTGGATTGTTTTCGTTGTATCTTGTAATTTTAGATGTAAACTCAGTGGAAATAAAGCCTGGGTAAATGATATGTCCTGTACTTTTGTGATTTGTTTCTGTGAAGTGCCCTATGGAGAACTGGTGAGTGAATAAACAAATTTTAGTATATCTATATAATGGGATACTACTCAGCAATAAAAAGTAATTACTGATACATATAAGGGCGTAGTTGAATCTCAAAAGCATTATTCTAATGAAGGAAATCAGAGTACATACTGTATGAGTTTATTTATTTTGCATTCTAGAACTGACAAAACTACAGGCATACTTCGGAGATGCTGTGGGCTTTGTTCCAGACCATTTTGGTAAAGCAAATATTGCGATAAAGCTAGTCACACAGACTTTCTGGTTTCCCACCGCATATAAAAGTTACGTTTACACTATACTATAGTTGATTAAGTGTGCAATAGCATTACATCTAAAAAATGTACATGCCTCAATTTAAAAAGACTTAAACATTTTTTAACTTTTAGTTTAGATTTAGGGGGTACGTCTGCAGATTTGTTACATGGCTATATTGCATGATGCTGAGGTTTGGGATATAAATGATCCCATCACCCAGACGGTGAGTGTAGTAGCCAAAAGATAGTTTTCCAACCCTCGCCTGCCTCCCTCCCACCTCTGTTAGTTTCCAGTGTCTGTTGTTGCCATCTTTATATCTAGGAGTACCCAATGTTTAGCTCCCACTTGTATATAAGAATATGTAGTATTTGGTTTTCTCTTCCTGCATTAATTTGCTGAGGATAATGGCCTCCAGCTCCATCCATGTTGCTGTAAAGGACATGATTTTGTTCTTTTTAAGACCATGTAGTATTCCATGGTATATATGTACCACGTTTTCTTTACCCCGTCCACTGTTGATGGATACCAAGATTGATTCCATGGCTTTGCTATTGTGAATAGTGCTGCAGTGAACATATGAGTGCATGTGTCTTTATGGTAGAATGATTGGTTTTCTTTTGGGTATATACCCAGTAATGGGACTGCTGGGTCAAATGGTAGTTCTGTTTTAAGTTCTTTGAGAAATCTCTAAACTGCTTTCCATACCAACAGTGTATAAGTATTCCCTTTTTGCTGCAGCCTTGCCAGCATCTGTTGTTAAAAAAGACTGTATTGCTAAAAAATGCTAAAAACGCTAACAGTTATCTGAGCCTCAGCAAGTCTTAATGTTTTTACTGGTGGGGGGTCTTTTGATGGCTGCTGACAGATCAGGGTAGTGGTTGCTGAAGGTTGGGGTGGCTGTGGCAATTTCTTCTTCCTCCTTGTTCTTCTCTCCTCTTCCTCTCTTCCTCCTCGTCCTTCTTCCTTCCTCCTCCTCCTTCCTCTTCTTTCTTTTTCTCCTTCTCCTCCTCCTTCCTTCTTCCTCCTCCTTTTCTTTTTTCTTTTTTTTGGAGACAGGGCCTCACTCTGTCACCCAGGCTGGAGGGCTGGAGTGTAGTGGTGCCATCATAACTTACTGCAGCCTCAAACTCTCGGACTCAAGCGATCTTCCCGCCCCAGCCTCTTGAGTAGCTAGGACCACACGTGACTAATTTTTTTTTTCCTTCCCTAATACTTCATTGGTCACCTCTAGGCCTGTGTGCGGCTGGGCAGGCTTTGGGGAGGGCGTCACTATTCAGCTCCCAGGTGGAAGCATGAGAAGGCCTTGGCCTGGCCCTCCAGGGTCCCACACTGTGGCGTTTGGAGGGGCAGGTCTGGCCTTGCCTGGGTCAGCACAGGGCACCTAGGTGGGGGCACAGGTGGGTACCCAGCACAGGCACCTAGGTAGGGGCACAAGCTCACTACCCATTGGCCAGCCTATTTGTGTTTGGAGAAATATTCCTTGCTGTCATCCACGTTGGGCTTAATCTTGTCACTGCCAAGCTTCCAGCCAGCAGGACAAACTTCTCTGTGTTCATCCGTGTACTGGATGGCCCGGACCAGCTGCAGAGCCTCATCCAATGAGCGTCCCACAGGCAAATCATTAACGGTGATCTGGCGAAGGACACCCTTCCATCAGTGTAAAAGAGGCCCCTGTAGGCAATGCCCTCATCTGTTTTCAGCACGCCGTAATCCTCAGACAAGTGTCTTGTCGCATCAGCACGCAGGGGGATGTTCAGGGAGCCCAAGCCTACCTCCTTCTTGGGGGTGTTGATCCAAGCCAGGTGGGTGAACTGAGAGTCCACCGAGACGCCCAGCACTTCGCAGCCCAGCTTGCGAAAGTCCTCGGTGTGGTTGCTGGATGCGATGATCTCTGTGGGGCACACAAAAGTGAAGTCCAGAGGGTAGAAAAAGAGGACCACGTACTTCCCTTTGTAGTCTGACAGCTTCACCTCTTTGAAGGCGCCATCCACCATGGCTGTGGCCTTGAAGTCAGGGGCGGGCTTTTCCACGTGCGCATTACCGGAGGCCGTGACTGAAAGCTGTGTGGGCAAAGGCTAGATGCACGGATGATCACACACGTGGACCCGCGTTCTCTGCCCATGTGACTAATTTTTAATTTTTAATTTTTTTTTTTTTTGTAGAATTGGCATCTTGCTATGTTGCCCAGGCTGGTCTTGAACATCTAGCCTCAAGTGATACTCCTGCCTCTGCCTCCCAAAGCGTTGGGATTACTGGCATGACCCAATGTGCCTGGCCCAGGGCAATTCTTAAAATAAGACAACAACAGAGTTTGGTGGATGTATTGACTCTTCCTTTCGTGAAAAATTTCTCCATAGCATGCAATTATACTGTTTGATAGCGTTTTACCCACAGTAGCAGTTCTTTCACAATTGGAGTCAATCCTCTCCAAATCCTGCTGCTGCTTTATCAACTAAGATAATGTAGTAATCTAAATCCTTCATTGTTATTTCAACAGTGTTCACAAGCATCTTCACCAGGAGTAGATTCCAGCTCAACAAACCGCTTTCTTTGCTCATACATGAGAAACAACTCCTCATCCGTTCAATTTTTTTTTTAATTTTTTGTAGAGATGGGGTCTTGTTGTGTTACCCAGGCTGGTCTTGAACTCCTGGTCTTAAGCAATCCTCTTGCTTTTGCCTCCCGAAATGTTGAGATTACAGGTGTGAGTCACTGTGCTCTACCCCGTTTATGGTTTATCATGAGATTGCAGCAATTCAGTCACATCTACAAGCTCCACTTCTAATTCTAGTTCTCTTGCTATTTCTACCACATCTGCAGTGACTTCCTCCACTAAAGTCTTGAAACTCTGAGAGTCATCCATGAGGATTGGAATCAATTTCTGTAACGCTCCTGTTAGTGTTAATGTTTTGACATCCTCCCATGAATCACAAATGTTCTTCTTGGCATCTAGAAGGATGACTCTGTTCCAGAAAGTGTTCAGTTTACTTTGCCCAGTTTCATCAAAGGAGTTCACTATCTATGGCACCTATAGCCTTACAAAATGTATTTCTTAAATAATAAGATTTGAAAGTTGAAGTAACTCCTTTATCCATGGGCTGTGGAATGGATAAGCAAGCATGAAAACAGCATTTATCTCTCTGTACATCTCCATCAGAGCTCTTTGGTGACCAGGTGCATTGTCAGTGAGCAGCAGTATTTTTAAAAGAATCTTTTTTTCTGAGCCATAACTCTCAAAGTTGGGCTTAAAATACTCAGTAAGCCATACTGTAAACAGATGTGCTGTCATCTAGACTTTGCTATGCCATTTACAGAGCGCAGGCAGAGTAGATTTAGCATAATTCTTAAGGGCCCTAGGATCTTCATACTAGTAAATGAGCATTGGCTTCAACTTCAAGTCGTCAGCTAAATCAGCCCCTAACGAGAGAGCCAGCCTGTCCTTTAAGGCTTTGAACCCAGGCGTTCACTCCTCCTCTCTAGCTAGGAAAGTCGTAGATGAAATCTTGTTCCAATAGAAGGCTGTTTTGTCTGCATTGAAAATCTGTTGTTTAGTGTAGCCACCTTCATCAATGATCTTAGCTAGTTCTAGACAACTTGCTGCAGCTTCTGCATTGGCATTTGCTGGTTCACCTTGCACTTTTGTGTTGTGGAAAAGTCTTCTTTCCTTAAACCTCATAAACCAATCTCTGCTTGCTTCATACTTCTGCAGCATCCTCACCTCTTTCAGCCTTCATAGAATTGAAGACAATTAGGGTCTTGTTCTGGATTAGGCTTTGGCTTAAGGGAATATTGTGGCTGGTTTGATCTTCTGTCCAGACCACTCACACTTTCTCCATATCAGCAATAAGGCTGTTTTGCTTTCTCATCATTCATATGTTCACTGGAATAGCACTTTTAATTTCTTTCAAGAACTTTTTCTTTGCGTTTACAACTTGGCTCTTCGGCACAAGAGATCTACATTTCGGCCTGTCTTAGCTTTCAACATGCCTTGCTCGCTAAGCTTAGTCATTTTAACTCTTGGTTTCAAGTGAGAGACATGCAACTATTCCCTTTCACTTGAACACTTAGAGGCTATTGTAGGATTCTTCACTGGCCTAATTTCAGTATTGTGTCTCCGGGAAAAGGGAGGCTGGAGGAGAAGAGAGACAGGACAACAGCCTATTGGCAGAACAGCCAGAACACAGTATTTATCAATGATATTCACCTTCTGTAGGGCATGGTTTCTGGTGCCCCAATACAGTTACCACGGTAACATTATGTATTAACAGATAGAATAAAAATGGAGAAGTTTGGAATATTGTGAGAATTACCAAACTGTGACATAGAGACAGAAGTGAACACATGCTGTCAGAAGAATGGCGCCGGTAGACTTGCTGGATGCACGGTTGCCACGAATCTTCAAATTGTGAAATAGTGTCTGCGAAGTGCAGCGGAATGAGGCGCGGTAGAGTGAGGTGGGCCTGTGTAGGGAGAAGGAAACAGGAGAGGACATGGTGAGAGTCGGAGGTCGAATGCAAAGTGGCAAAAGGGAGTTTTCTGGGGGGATAGAAACGTTCTTTACCTTTGTCGTGGTGGTTATGTAGTTTGTAAAGTTTTCAAAACTCATCAACTTGTACACTTAAAATTAGTGGATTTAATTGTATGAAAATTATACCTCAAAGCTGATTTTTAAAAAGCAGGCAAAACTCATCTGTGGTATCAGAATGGTGATTAAAGTACGGACTGGGAGGGATGAAGGATCCTTCTGGGGAGCTGGAAGTGTTCTGTAGTTTGAAGCGGGTGTTGCCTGGGTGTACGCAGTGTATGTGCACAGTGTAAAAGGTCATTGAGCTGCACACTTAAGACTTTATATACCTCAGCAAAAACGGAAGAAGTTCTAAAGAAGGATTATAATATGAGGTTGAGAAAATCTCCAAGAAAGTAGAGCAAAAGGACAGAGAGATGGAAAAAAGGAGAGAAAAACTAAGAAAATTAGAGGACCAGCCTAGGAAGTCTAATTCCTGGATAAAAGGCATTTCATAACAGAAAAAAAAAAAATGGAAAGAAATTTTCGATGAAATAATTCAGAATATTTCCTAAAATGGAAAGATATTAATTTCTACATTGAAAGAACCCCAAATAGACCCATTTCAAAGCACATCATCAAAAATTTTAGAAAACTCATGTGAAAGAGAAGATCCTACAAGTTTCCAGAAAAGGGGAAAAACAAGTGATATAGAACAGATTAGGAATTTAAATGACTTCAGTCTTCTTAACCTAGTATTGAAATCTAAAAGGTATTAGGGAAATGCCGTAAAAATCCTCAAGGAAAATTATTTCCGAGCTAAGCTTCAGTAGCCAGGCAAATTCTCATTGAAGTGTGAGGGTAGAATAAAGGTATTTACAGACATGCACAGTTGCAAAAATTTTATCTCCCTTCTGTAGAAAATGTGCTCCATAAAGGTAAGAGAGTGAACCAAGAAAGACAAAGACATGTGATACATGACAAAAGGACAACATAGAAGAGGCCGAAGGGCTCCCTAGGATGAAGGAAGGTACCAAGTTGAACAGCCTTGGAGGGTAGAAAGAGAGAGTGTCTTTCTCCAGAGCAAAGGTCAGGTTTGCGTATAGCCTTGGAAGATACAGTATCTCCCTTTGGAACAGGGATAGAGAAGCATAAAACTTCATAGATGCAGGTTCTCTAAGCTTAGGCCTCCCCTCCTGTAATTCAGACTACTTCCTTTGCAGATGTTACATGGCCCTTTTCAAATTGCCCCATGGGAACTGGGGCTTGGGGAACTGGTGGGAAAAAAAGTACGTTGGGTTAGGTTGTCTTCTGGAAGCTTTATAGTTTTAACTCTTACATTTAGGTCAGTCATCCATTTGAGTCAGTAATAGTTTTAACTCTTACATTTAGGTCAGTCATCCATTAATCCATAATTCATTTTTGTACGTGATGTGAAAGAAGGGTTGAGATTCAGTTTTTGTTTTGCATATAGATAGCCAATTTCTTTCAGGACCTTTTTGCTGGAAAAAATTGTCCTTCCCTCGTTGAATTTTTTTGGGCACTTTGGTTGAAAATTAGTTGGCTTTGTATGTATGAATCTGTTTCTTGACTCTCTGGTTTCTTTCACTGATTTTTGTGTCTGTCTTTATGTCAATTCCACACTGTCTTGATTACCATAACTTTATTATTAATTTTTTTTTGAGATGGAATTTCGCTCTTGTTGCCTAGGCTGGAATGCAGTGGCGGGATCTCGGCTCACCCCAACCTCTGCCTCCCAGGTCAAAGCGATTCTGCTGCCTCAGCCTCCTGAGTAACTGGGATTACAGGCATGCCCCACTGCGCCCGGCTAATTTTGTATTTTTAGTAGGGACGAGGTTTCTTCATGTTGATCAGGCTGGTCTCAAACTCTCAACCTCAGGTGATCCACCTACCTCGGCCTCCCAAAGTGCTGGGATTACAGGCATGAGCTACCGCACCCGGCCATGATTACTGTAACTTTATAGTAAATTTTAAAATCATGTAGTTGACATCGACCCCCAACAGGCATTTTTCCCCTCAGCCCCTTAGAAGTACTCCACCTGAATACGTCTGTGTTAGTAAGTCCTCCTACTTTACTGTTTTTCAAAACTTTTGTCTATTTTGTGTTCTTTCATTTCCATTTAAGTTTTAGAATCAACTTGTCAATTTTTCCAAAAAAGGCTGCTGGGATTTTGATTGGGATTCCATTGACTCTATGGGTTACTTTCAAGATAATTTGACATCTTACCCGTATTGAGTGTTTTTATTCATAAACAAATACACACACATCTATTAATTTAGGTCATGTTTAATTCTCTTAGGTTTTAATAGTTCTCAGGTTACAAGTCTTGCACATATTTTGTTAAATTTATCCCAGAATATTTAATATTTTTGGATAATTTTACTGTTTTTAGTTTCTGGTTATTTCTCGTATGTGGAAATAAGATTGATTTTTGAATACTGACCTTGTGTGCTGCAACCTTACACAGCTCATTTATTAGTTCTAGAGCTATTTGCAGAGTCCCTAGGATTTTCTCCACTGACAGTCATGTTTTCTGTAAATAAAAGCAGCTTTGCTTCTTTTCCA